CGCTTAACAACCGTGGCATGAAAGGGCATAAAATGGGGCAACACTCACTTAACGACAATCTTGCTGAGCCACAGAAATGTTGGACTCCATGGTGGTCACAAGTGGTGGACTACCTGTAAATGGGTAGCTTCCCCTTGCCCTGTTTGCTGTGAGCCATCTTGGGCCTACCTTCCGCTGAATCTCCAGCACGGTGATCCGGCCGGCCTCCCGCTTCATTTGCTCCACCCAACGCTCAGATAGATTCAGATACGCCTGGAGATGGTAGCGGATGACAGCCAGGCGTAGCACACACAGCACTACAATCGTCCAGAGGCGTACAGAATTGTAGGTGGTGTCCGACATGCTGTCACAAAGAGGAAGGGAGCCCATTAGCTCTCTGAGGATGAGGAGGGACGTCTTTCAAATGCTGAGCTGCCAAGCCACAGCCTGAGAATCTAGGCTTGTGTTCTGACCTAGGCTTCCCAAGACTCCTTGTCCCGATAAAACCTCTTTTGTTTAGATTAAAGGGAATTCCTCTCCAGCAAAGTCCCGGGGAACAATGACAGACCTTCATCAGGCTTGGGAGAGCTGCCAGGCCCATATCTTGAGAGCCGAGGTGGCGCAGTGGTTAGGGTGCAGTACTGCAGGCCACTTCAGCTGACTGTTATCTGCAGTTCAGCGGTTCAAATCTCACGGGCTCAAGGTTGACTCAGCCTTCCATCCTTCCGAGGTGGGTGAAAGAGGACCCAGACTGTTTGGGGCGATATGCTGACTCTGTAAACCGCTTAGAGAGGGCTGAAAGCCCCATGAAGCGGTATATAAGTCTAACTGCTATTGCTATTGCTATCTTCCAAATGCCAAGCTGTAGCAGCAATTACTTGGCAAGAAGTCAGGAATAGATCTTCACCTTAATGAATTGAACTAATTAGCAATAGCAATAGCAGTTAGACTTATATACCGCTTCATAGGGCTTTAGGGAGACAATTAGTTGCAGGAGACAACTAATTGTCTCCTGCAAACTCCCCTCCCCTTTGGCTCCTCTTTATTCCTTATGGGGGGAGGGCATTCACCATCCACCTGTGTGCCTTTACTCCTGAGTCAGCCCTTGTTCCTTAATTGTTCCCTTCTCCTGACAGCTCTGCGCATGCGCCCATTGGGAACAGGTTCCAGCTGTTCCTCTGCCCCACTGATCTCCAACTCCGAAGGCAGCTGATAACTGTCAGACGGCCCTGGCCCCGATTCCAGGACTGGCCCATGTTCCTCCCCAACCTCCTCATTGCCTGAGTCTGCCACCAGCTCTTCTGGTCGCTGGTGGGCCACAACAGCTTGATCCCCAACCTCCCTGTTGAATCTAAGTTACTGAGCCTCATAGATGCAGGGATGCTAAAAGGAATGTTAAGGGGAAAAATTACGCAGAAATTACTTGAGTTAAACAGGTTTACAAAGAAAGAAAGAAATCGCAGCCGGAATGCATCCAGCTTAACTTACATCTGGACCGTCTCCTTGCCCATGGGAGCCCGCAGCAAGAGGTCTCGCGAAATGGGCTTGATCCACATCAGAACCACGATCACGGGAGCAAGAAAACTGGCCTGGAGAAGGATTCTGTGGGATGGGAAGAGGTAGGTTTGTTCCCCGTTAGGCTGATTCTCCAGACTTCAGTGCATCTCATTAAAAAAAATTGGAGCATCTATCCGACTGCATTTATCTCTCTCTCTCTCTCATCTGTCTATTTACCTACCTACTGTCAGAGTATGAATATTCATAGACTGGAATAGACATGGCAACAGGTCAGCCAATGGGGACTGTTTGGAAACTGAAACAGTATTTGCTGATTCAGACAGCAAGGAGCCTGGGTGTAGCTTAGCTTAATTTCTGAACTAGTCTGCTGCTCTAATCTGAAAACGAAACTTCTCTCCTCTGCTTGTGTTTTGCTTGTATTTGCTACGATGTTAGAAAATCTGCTTTTGGTATTGTATATTTACGTCGTATTATATATAAAGAGAAGTTCATGAATCGTGCTGAATCCGTTACCTGTGTGTGCTTTCCGGATGCGATTGCTGCCACAAACTCTTGACACCTACCTACCATTTTAATAATTTTCAACCTTACGAAATACAGCTTTTACTGGTTCCAGGGTCATGCTTATGCCTTGAACAATATGGTGCAGCCTAACTGACCCAACTTGCATTTCCTTTTTCTGTCCTTCCCTTCCTACACCCTGCTCATATATTCCTGGCTGGGGAGTTCTGGGAATTGAAGTCTATACATCTGGGATGGCGAATCTATGGCACGTGTGCCACAGGTGGCATGCGGAGCCATTTGTCAGGGCACCATTTGTCTGGCCAGCGCGCATATCCTGAGTTCATCCTTTTTTAAGCCCTTTTTTGCCCTCCCCAGGCTCCAGAAGCTTTATAGGAGCTGGGAAAGGCAAAAACAGCCTCCCCCCCGCCCGGAGGCCCTCCAGAGGCTTCAGGAGCTTCCCTGAAGTGCAAAAAAATGGCCCTACGGGCAATCAGGAAGTTCAGGCCGGTTAAACCCTCTGGAGCCTTCATGGGCCTTCCGGAGGTTTTCCTGAAGGCTCCAGAGGACTAAAAACGGCCCTACGAGCAAACCGGAAATCACTTCCAGTTTGCTCATAGGGTCGTTTTTTGCCCCTCCCCCCTTGAAGGCTTCAGGGAAGCTCCTGAAACCTCTGGAGGGCCTTGGGGTGGGGGAGAGGCTGTTTTCGCCCTCCCCAGGCTCCTATAAAACCTCTGGAACCTGGGGAGGGTGAAAAAAGCATGCAAAAAAATGGGGGGTTGTGTCTGTCATGCGTGCATGCACACTGGGGGGGGGAGTCATGCAATGCATTATGGGTGCGGCATGCCCACGCATGACCCTATGCGCTCCCCCCGCTTATGGCACGCGAGCCAAAAAGGTTCACCATCGCTGCTATATATCCTAACGTGACCCGTCAAAACCGCGCTCGACTAAACCGCGCCCGATTAAACCGTGTCGNTATGCAGACTCTGTAATTTTGAAAATCAAAATCCAAAGAGCTCAAAACAACCCAGTTAAATGCAGTTTCTCTAAAACATGGTGATTTAAACAACCTTACGTCTCCTATTACCTATTTTCAATTTTCACTAAAACAAAAAAGAAGAGCATTGATCAGCTGCCAAATCACAATTTTAAACCATTCCAGTCACTGCAAGTGGATAACTTATGAAATGTTAAATGCTGATCCAGATAATTTGCAAAATGGTGGCACATTCCATTAAAGCTTTTATTGATTTCACAAAGTAATCCAGATGCATTTCTACCACTTAAAATTCCCACATTACTGAAATGTGGTTTAGATGATACTGATTCCATGGGTGTGTGTTAGTGTGTGTTAGTGTAGAACAAAGAGATGGAATATCCTGTATTACCAAATCAATAGCTACAAGTGCTAAAAGTTTTTGTTTATGATCCCAAGATTTGATTTGATTTTTATTAGTCAGATTTTTATATTACTCTATCTCAGATCGCTTCTAAGAAGCTTACAAGAAATGCATTTAACACAATACGAACAACAAGAGACAAAAGATAAAAGCATCATCCATTGTGAGCAGCCCCTAATGTATCTTCCCTGAAGACCTTATCAAATAGTCAAGTTTTTACAGCTCTGTAAAAAACAAGCAAGGAAGAGGAGATTAATTCAACAAAAGGTTATTTTTTGTGTGCTTACTAGATAACCCAGATAATGTTTACAAGAGACTGGCTGTCAACTTTATTATGTTAGAAGAGCAAAATGGATAAGAGGACACTGAGTCATATGATATGAACTTGTTCTACCATTGTCCCAGTTGATTTAATTAGCCATTGGTTTCTCAACATATTATTACCAAGATTAATATAGTTTACAGATGTGAATGTAGTTTTGGATTATATTTTGGAACTCTGCATTATTTGAAGAATTGGTGATGTATCAGGTATGAATGACAGCAAAAAATATTGGTTTGGAAAAAAACAAGAATACCTTAGGTTTACAGTCTTGGATGATCGGTATCTGTTTGTGTTCTACTTACAAATTGATACTCTGTTCAGGTAATGAGAAGACCGATCAGTATTATTCTAAGTCATCAAATGTGTTCAAAAATTAGATGGAAGGATTTCTTATACCTATTCATAATGTGATTTTATTGTCTTCTCTCTTTCTCTCTCTCTCTCTCCTTCCCCATGACCCATCAAAGCCACGCTTGACTAAACCGCGCCCGATTAAACCGCGTCGCTGATGTCATCAACAGGGCGACAACAGCCAGCACGGAGAAAGAAGGGCGCTTTAAATAGCGCTTTGAAAGCAAGCCGATTCAACTTAAGGTAAGGGTTAGGTTTAGGGTTAGCTTTAGGGTTAGGTTAAGGGTTAGGGTTAGGGTTAGGTTAAGGGTTAGGATTAGGTTTAGGGTTAGGTTAAGGGTTAGGGTTAGGTTTAGGGTTAGGTTAAGGGTTAGGGTTAGGTTAAGGGTTAGGTTAAGGGTTAGGGTTAGGTTAAG